TGATGGAATGAAGCATTTAAACGACTTCGGGTTAGATCTCCATGAATAACGTTGATATTTGTGTCAGAAAATAGAAAAATGCAACCACCGAATGCCAAGACAAATTGGACGAGTTGTTGGAATACGCACCGCCAAACAGAAACGTGACTTCTTCGAAAGACGCCTTGATTGACCAGCAAACACCTTTATTCAAGATATAAAACGATGGTTACGGCTCAGAGACACTGAGATCAATGGTTAACCGCGATCGTATAATGGTCTTCAAAGCACTTACCCGCTCGGACCTCCATGTCAACCTTAGGTCTGGTTCGACTGCCAATGACATAAAAGAACATAAGAAGGGGAGTTCGGTGGGAGGGGTTTGTTTAAGCCTTGACGTTCCGAGTAACGACCTCGGCTTCCCACGTTCAAAGTTTGGAGAGTTTCGTGCCCGGTCCTCATCAAGTGGCGGATACTGCCCGATACGTAGCTCTCCGGGTGTCAGCTATGCAGCTGAATTAGACCCCCGTTTCACCGCGACCTCTGTCGTCTCTGCCCTCCTTGACCGCGCTGACATTTGGCGGCAAATGCATCGGGCAAAATGCGTCATATACTGGGAGCTGTACGCAGGATTCTCCAGTCCCAGCGATTGTGTCCCTTCTTCAACCTCCAGTCTCTCAAATCGGGTAGCCAAAATTGTTTGTAGTAGTTCTGCTGGCTGCGATGATGATGATGATGATGATGATGATGATGATGATGATGATGATGATGATGAGTGGGAGTGCCATAACGGCCGTATTAAGAGGGATGGGTGTAGGGGGTGTCCAGCGGTGGGTTCACGTGATGGTCGTAGTGGTCGCTCACTTGCTTTCAGGTGAGACTACGCCTAGCGTCCATTTGCTTGCACCCAACTCTCATCTGTGGCTCTACGAAGCTGGGCTCTGCTCAGCGGCCACACCCCGGGCAACCGTCTCGACCGGCGGGCTAAACCAGGTGAGGGCGCTGTGCGCTTGTGCCGCGTGCACAGTGTACTGCGGACTCCGCTGGATGGATGGTCGGATGAAAAACTGCGCCGGCATCGTCGAGACGAGGCTCTGCCTGGTACGCCGTTGGACAACTGCTGCCGGGACGGGTCTCCGCATCGCCTTCGCTGAGACGCGCCCACCCTCGCCGACGGAGACCGCGGACTCACGGCATATGCGGTCGATCTCCACTACAAACATAAAAGTCGTGGCCCCATAGTGGGATCGGTCGCGCCAACCAGGCACATGGGCAGCCCGATTCAGGGGCGGCACTACCTTCCCCCACGAGGGGAAGGGCCTAGAAAAGGTGGCCTAAAAATGCTGGGTACCACACCGTCTTCAGGCTAGCCAGGGCCGCAGACGTCTAATCATGGTCGAAACACTCAAAATCGAAACAACAACAATACCAATAACAACAACAACCATACTCATTCTCCTCATCCTACCTCTTCTACCTCTTCCTCTGCCTATTCTTCTGCCTATTCTTCTCCTTCGTCATCTTCTTCTCCACCTCCTTCCCGTCGCCCCACTCGTTGTCCCCAGACTGGCAGGGTGAGCCCGCTCACTCTGGCAGCCTGGAATGTTCGTTCCCTTTTCGACAATCCGAGGAGCAACCGACCGCAGCGGAGGACGGCTCTAGTGGCACGAGAACTCGCCCGCTACAAGGTGGACATCGCCGCACTCGGCGAGATCCGATTCTCCGAACAAGGCCAACTGGAGGAGGCAGGTGCCGGCTACACCTTCTTCTGGAGTGGTCGGCCCAGGCCAGAGCGACGAGACACGGGCGTCGCCTTTGCCATCCGGAACGACATCGTGGGACGACTGCCCAGTCTGCCGCCGGGCATCAACGATCGCCTGATGAGCCTCCGTCTGCCTCTCCGGGGTGGGGGCAAATTCGCCACCATCATCAGCGCCTACGCTCCGACGATGACCAACCCCGACGCCGTCAGAGACAAATTCTACGAGGACCTGCACGCCCTCTTGGCGACTGTGCCGAAGGCAGACAAGTTGATTGTCCTTGGCGACTTCAACGCCCGCGTCGGCACAGACCATACTGCCTGGAGAGGAGTGCTGGGTCCCCACGGTCTCCGCGGCTCCAACGACAATGGTCTGCTGCTGCTCCGCACCTGCGCAGAACACCGCCTCATCCTGACGAACACCTTCTTCTGTCTGCCGGAGCGAGAGAAGGCCACCTGGAGGCATCCTCGGTCGCGCGAGTGGCGCCTGCTGGACTATGTCCTCGTCCGGAGGCGAGATCAGCGGGACGTGCTGGTGACGAAGGCGATCGCGGGTGCTGACGGGTGGACCGACCATCGCCTCGTCATCTCGAATATGCGTATTCGCCTACAGCCTCGCAGGAGACCACAAGGTAAGCGACCCCCAGGTAAGCTGAATGTTGCCTTGTTGTCTTTGCCCGCTCACCACCTTCATTTCAGCAATGAGCTAGCTTAACGGCTAGACAACGTTCCAATCGTTGCCGCCGACGACGCCGCCGCCACCGCCGAGAACGCCTCCGTGGAGAACCGCTGGTGTCAACTGCGAGACACGGTCCAGTCGACGGCGCTCGCCGTCCTCGGTCGCGCTCCCCGTCAACACCAGGACTGGTTCGATGACAACGACGCCGCCATCAGAAATCTGCTTGCTGAGAAGAACCGCCTACACAAGGCCTACGTCGATCACCCCACTGAGGGCAACAAAGCTGCCTTCTACCGCAGTCGTCGCCAGCTTCAGCAACGACTGCGCGAGATGCTGGACGCCTGGACTGCTCGCAAAGCTGAGGAGATCCAAGGCTACGCGGACCGCAACGAATGGAAGAACTTCTTCTCTGCGATCAAAGCTGTCTACGGTCCGCCGACGAAGGGCACTGCTCCTCTCCTCATCGCTGACGGTAGCACTCTCCTGACTGAGAAGACATAAATTCTACAGCGATGGGCCGAGCATTTCCGAGGCGTCCTCAACCGCCCCTCCGTCATCTCCGACGCCGCCATCAAGCGTTTGCCGCAAGTGGAGACCAACGTGGACCTCGACCTCCCGCCATCTCTCCAGGAGACCATCAGGGCCGTACAGCAGCTCTCCAGCGGGAAAGCACCCGGATCGGACGCAATCCCTGCTGAGATCTACAAGCACGGAGGTCCCCAACTGATGGATCACCTGACTGCGCTTTTCCAGGAGATGTGGCGTCAAGGCGAAGTCCCGCAAGATTTTAAGGACGCAACAATCGTGCATCTCTTCAAGCGAAAAGGGAATCGCCAAGTCTGCGACAATCACCGCGGCATCTCCTTGCTGAACATCGCCGGGAAGATCTTCGCACGAATCCTGCTCAACCGTCTTAATAACCATCTCGAACAGGGTCTACTGCCGGAGAGCCAATGCGGCTTCCGCCGAAATCGTGGGACCACGGACATGATCTTTGCCGCCCGTCAACTGCAGGAGAAATGTCAGGAGATGCGGACCCACCTGAACTCTACCTTCGTGGACCTGACGAAAGCCTTCGACACGGTGAATCGTGAAGGACTGTGGAAGATCATGCAGAAATTCGGCTGTCCGGAGCGATTCACTCAGATGGTGCGTCAGCTGCACGACGGTATAATGGCGCGAGTCAAGGACAACGGAGCTGTCTCAGAGGCATTCTCAGTGACCAACGGAGTGAAGTAGGGCTGCGTACTGGCCTCTACCCTCCTCAGTCTTATGTTCTCTGCCATGCTGATGGACGCCTACCGCGACGAACGCCCTGGAATCCGCATCGCCTACAGAACGGACGGTCATCTCCTGAATCACCGGCGCATGAACTTCCAATCGCGCGTATCCACAGCCACCGTGCACGAACTCCTCTTCGCCGACGACTGCGCCCTGAAAACCACCTCGGAAGAGGAAATGCAACGGAGCATGGACCTATTCTCCGCCGCCCACGAGAACTTCGGTCTGGTCATTAACACGCAGAAGACGGTGGTGATGCACCAACCGCCACCCCACTCAGTCACAGCCCCCAACGCGCCGCCGCAAATCAGCGTGAATGGGACCCAACTACAAGTGGTGGAGAACTTCCCGTACCTGGGCAGTACTCTCTCCCACAACACCAAGATCGATGACGAAGTCGCCAACAAGATCTAGAAAGCCAGTCAAGCCTTCGGTCGCCTCCAAAGCACAGTTTGGAATCGCCACGGTCTTCAGCTGAGCACGAAGCTGAAGATGTACAAGGCCATCATCCTGCCGACGCTACTGTATGGAGCGGAGACTTGGACGGTGTACGCAAAGCAGGCACGTCGTCTGAACCACTTCCACCTCAGTTGTCTTCGTCGCATCCTGAGGCTGAACTGGCAGGATCGAATCCCCGACACTGATGTGCTGGAACGGACGGGAATCCTCAGCATCTACGGCATACTGAGGCAAATGCAGCTGCCTTGGAGCGGCCACCTGGTGCGCATGGACGACGAGCGACTACCCAAACGACTCTTCTACGGAGACGTAGCGACGGGTTCTCGCCGTAAAGGAGGTCAGATTCGTCGTTACAAGGATGCCCCGAAGTCCTCCCTGAAACGCCTGCAAATCAATCCCACCGACTGGGAGGAGCTCGCACTCGATCGACCGACGTGGAGGAGGACAGTGAAGACAGGCGCTGCGATCTACGAAGCCAACCGCATCGCTGCCGCCAAAGCGAAACGCGAAGCCCGCAAAGCACAACTTCGCCCAGTACGCAACGCCGCCGCACAACCGCTTCCAACGTGTCCTCGATGTCAACGGGCATTCCGGGCTCGAATCGAACTTGTTGGACATCTTCGGATTAACTGCGCCTCTCGAACGGCACCAACCATCGTCCCCCCGCCTGCCTCTCCCTCCTCCTCTCCGCCGCCAAATAACTCTGACAATTCTTCTGACCCACTATTTCCATCCTCCTCCTCCTTCTCCTCCTTCTTCTCCTACTCTTCCTACTCCTCCTTCTCCTCCTCC